AAACGTTTTTGGGCTACAGCACCTAATTTTGTATCTAGCAGTAACAGGCCTGAATGAATAGTGGAAGTGGCAACTACAACAAATTTAAAGACTATAGAAATGAAGTAATATAGACTTCATGTATTTGATTGGTAGAAGTTGGTCAGAGTCAGGACAATACTCTAGCACATGAATAGGCAGTGATTAGAAAAGACAAAGCAGGTTTTATATGCAATGCAAATTAGAGTGTATTATCTGAGAGACAATAGCAACACATATTATTCAGTGGCTGGACTGTATGTAAGAACCTTGTTTTGGCAACAATATAAGAGGTAGTGAGGAACATTAGAGTATATTATTTGAGACACTAGCCACAAATATTGTACAATGGCTGGACAGTGCAGCTCCAGATGGCAGTGAACAAACCACCTCAAGGTCAGGCGGTCTGAGACCAACTCTGCCCAAGTTGATTGTGCTGCAACCCTACCTATGTAACCTAGTACAAATTTCCTGATCTGGATTGCCCCAGAGTGGAAGATTTTTTGTAACAATTTATTTTTTTCTTTTTTCCACAAGCAATGCTAATACAGAGATCTCCCCCCCTGGTGTGCTATACTGTCCCTCAGGAACACCCTGGTCAGCGCTCACAGTCATTAGATAAGGGTGCTGATCAGATGTCGATCGGATGCTGGCTTTATAGCTTGCCCGTTAGACAGAAGCTGGTCATGAGAATGGCTTCTGTCAGACAGGGAGCTGTACACATGGGCCAAAAGTACTAACTGTACTGGCTGACTTTGGCCAGTATTTGACCCATGTGTACTAGGCATTACTCCATCTTCTGCTCCTTCTCCTCCACTTCCTCCTTCCCCTTCTCCACCACCTCCACCTATTCCTCTACTTCCTTTAGTCCCATTGTACCTCTGCCAGCAAGTCTAGTCCTGCCCTCCATGTTCATGTGGAGGATTCCCCTTTTGTCTTCATTTCCTAAATCATCATGTGAGCGCAGAGCAGCCACTTGTCTGAAAATGCTGCTAATGTTCCTTTTTCCTTCCTTTCTTCCTTCAAACAAAGGCGCAGAGCATCCACATGTCTGCAATTACTACTAAAATGCTCTTATTCTCCTCCTCTTCTACTCCTCAGGAGTGCAGAGAAGCCACTTGTCTGCAAGTGCTTCTACTACACTATGTTCTATACTTCTCACAAGATAAGGCCATCAGCTCACATACTCGCCTTTGCAAAGCTGATGGCAACAAAGAATACCATTTTGTGGGTGGGAGAGGTATGTCTCTAATAGATTAGAAAAGCTGTTTCTAAAGGCCAGAGAGAACTAGATTAAATCTTAAGCAAGGAGTGAGAGGCCAATAGTACCTGAAACAAGATAGGAAGGCAGAAATCTGTCTTTTGATAATGCTGGGAGTTAAACGCTGGTCTAAACCCAATTGACTTCTCACTTGCTACACTATTTTTTCATACAGTCTTTATACAGTATACTGTATGTACATTTTGTTTTTATAATTATCATCTTTTTCTTTCTTGTGAGGCCATCCCTGCACTTGTCAAGCAAATGCTTCCAATGCAAACTGGGTACACTTCTTAGGTAAGAAGGAAGTCCTCGGCCTCAGCACCACCTTGTCCCTGCACAAATATATAAGAAAGGGTAAATGCACTACAAAGCAGGTTTTAATGACCCTGCAATATTTTCAGCAAGGCTGACCACAGAGCAGAGAAGGTTCACATCTATGTGTTTTGTGCCAAAGTGCACATGCGCTGAAATTCACAGGGAAGGTACTTTGGTGTGCTGTTCAAATAAACTCCACTGTAACACACTACAGTCATTGTCATGCATTACCCTGTCTTGCAGTAATAGCAGCTAGCAATGCACACATATGAATAGAGCCTAGAGGTTCTGGTCATTTAAATTTCTTAGCTGGTGGCTGAGAAAGCCATTTAAAGGCAAAGGACTTGATTAATGAAACAAAACATACAGACATGGGATTATTCTGATGTGTATATACCTATACACAACTAACACTAATGAGCAAACACCTAGAGGGATGCTGGGGATACTGCCCCCCTTTATTGTCCTAAAACCAATTACTGTAAAGCAATAGAGTGTTTGAGTGTGGGCAGAGTGCAGTGAAAATTCCACATGCACCCCTGCTTTTATTCATGTAAAAACGTCCATTACAGAAAAGCAAATTGGCCCAGCAAGCCCAATTTTGATGTAAACAGAAAATTCAAACCTTTTAGGACGAATTACTTAAAATGTCCTTATGTCTGTTTACAAAGTGATGTAAGCAGAAAAATGATTGGATTGGGGGTATAGCAGAATTCATTTTGGGACATCTTGTTTTGCAATCGCAAGCTTTGAAATCAGAATAAAATAGTTGAGAATTTGTGAATCTAATTCTGTCTTTTTTTTACAAATCGGGGTCAACAGCCCTGAGACTGTCATAACATGTGAGGGTGTCTCAGTTTCTGGTTAACTGACAAATTGTGTTTTTATGGTGGTTCTACAAAATAACTGCCTTCTTTGTATTTCTGCCCTATATACTGTATGTTTATGCACTATTGAATTAAAAATTCTAAAAGTTATACTGTTAACTTTTATTAAGGCATTAAATCATGTTGGATTAAGGGTGTAAATGGAATAGGTGTGATTGAACTTGCAACTATCCTTATTTTTTTTAACTTTGTGTTTAGGGTAGGTCTTCCAAGAAATGACAAAAATATATCACTGTGATATAAGTAATAAAGTACTATGTCAATTCTCAATGGGCGGATCTCATGTCAACATGCCAAGAAAATTATCTCAATAAGCTGTACTAAACATTTGTAATATGTGCTTCTGGGAGAAATAAAGAAGCAGAGACAAACTTGAAATTAGCAATGTAATGCTATATCTTGACATGCATGCATGGGTTGTATTACACAGACCCTTAGGACTTTTGTTTATAGAAGGCTTTGACTAAAACTGGGAATAGATACTAGATTATTGTCACCAGTTCCAGCCACAACATTTGCATGTCTATGGCAACTAGCAGACAGCTCTACTTTGCCTATCTCAGGTGGATAGGTCAGTTTGACATTTTACAAAAATTTTGACCTGTAGATACATAAGAGTGCAGCACTTAAAAAAGTGACAGATAATTGTAAGAAAACAGTATAAAATGTGTAAAAAAAATAGTCCATCCAAAAATAAAGAAAAAGTCCCAAAGGCTGTGATGGAACAAAGGAAATCCAAGGACAGTTGTTGTGTCACCAACCACTCATACAAAAGGCTTACCAGAAAGGCATGACCCATTGTTAAGAGTGGTCAATCGCACTTTGTTAAACAATCCAAAAAGCCGGTAACTCGAATCCTCCTCCGGATCACCAAAATAGTAGATAAGGATCTTCCAAACAATGGACCTTACTTAGGGTAGCTAAACCACTCAGGATAAGGCTCAGACTCGTATTAGGAAACATGTAAAGAAAGAACGCTCCACATAGTGTAAAACCATTATAACAACATTTATTTAAAGTATGGTTGCACTCACATGAAAGTTAACCTCATTAGGCATTGATAGGAAAAAAATCCAAATTTTCCAGTTTACAAAATGGCCACTGGCCGGTCGCGCATGCGCAGTAGCGTGTGTACGTGGTTCTATCCTACGCGCTTCGTCACAGGTAACGTCATTAGGTGCATGGTTTTAATCGTTTTACACTATGTGGAACACTCTTTCTTTACATGTTTCCTACTACGAGTATGAGCCTTATCCTGAGTGGTTTAGCTACCCTAAGTAAGGTCCATTGTTTGGAAGATCTTTTTCTGCTCTTTTAGTGATCTAGAGCAGGATTCGAGTGACTGGCTTTCTGGATTGTTTAACAAAGCACGATTGACCACTCTTAACAGGGAGTCATGCCTTTCTGGTAAGCCTTTTATATGAGTGGTTGGTGACACAACAACTGTCCTTGGATTTCTTTTGTTTCATCACAGCTTCTGGAACTTTTTCTTTATTTTTGGATGGACTATTTTTTGACACATTTTTTCACTGTTTTCCTACAATTATCTGTCACTTTTTTAAGTGCTGCACTCGTATGTATATATTGTTTACTGCCTAGTATCAGGGTTTTTGTGTTCAGCTGCTATATGTTATACACTTCATTTTTTGATTATTGTTCATTTATTGTAATTTTTATTAGTGCAGGTTTATTTATATATATTTTTGTAGATACATTTTTGTAAGATCAGGTGGCCATTGATGTGTCTGGTTGTACTTCTTCCTTCCTCTTCATAGTAATATGCATGCATTCCTGTGTAAATGAAAAAAATAATATATTTACATGAAATGCTGCCGGAAAAGGACCTCTTTCAATGGTTGGATCATGCCTCTCAGGTTTGTGGACTTCTTTAGAGATAATAAACCAGATTAACAAAAGGAGCTAAGAATCTTCACTTGATAAACTTAGTAAAGATTCATTTCAATTAACCAATCATGTGATAAGCACATTTGTATTTATTTGTGCCATCTGAATATGATTAGATATGTGAACACATCTACAATTTTTTTAGTGAAGATTCACTTCTTTAGTAAATCTAATTATAATTTAGTTAGAAAAGTGCCAGTTTTTTAAAGATTTTTTATCTGGTTGAGGTCAGGACTCTGTGGAGGCCAGTCAGGTTCCTCCACCCCAAACTCGCTCATCCATGTCTTTATGGATCTTGCTTTGTGCACTGCACAGTCATGTGGGAATAGGAAAGGGCCATCCCTAAACTGTTCCCACAAAGTTGGGAGCATGAAATTGTCCAAAATGTCTTGGTATGCTGACACCTTAAGAGTTCCCTTTACTAGAACTAAGTGGTCAAGCCCATCCCCTGAAAAAAACCCGCACTATAATCCCCTCTTCATCAAACTTTACATTTAACAAAATGCAGTCAGGCAAGTACCCTTCTGGCAATTGCCAAACCCAGACACGTCCTTCAGATTGCCGGACAGAGAAGCGTGATTCATCACTCCAGAGAACAGGTCTCCACTGCTCTAGAGTCCAGTGGTGGCATGGTTTACACCACTGCATCTGACACTTTGAATTGCACTTGCTGATGTAAGGCTTGGATGCAGCTGCTCGGCCATGGAAACCCATTTCATGAAGCTCTCTATGCACTGTTTTTGTTGTTGAGCTAATCTGAAGGCCACAGGTAGTTTGGAGGTCTTTATCTATTGACTCTGCTCACAGCTGGTGCACTTCAGCATGCACTGACCCCGCTCTGTCATTTTATGTGGTCTACATGGCTGAGTTGCTGTTGTTCCCAGTTGCTTCCACTTTGTTATAATACCACTAACAGCTGACCGTGGAATATTTAGTAGCAAGAAAATTTCACGAATGGACGTATTGCACAGGTGGCAACCTATCACGGTACAATGCTTGAATTCACTGAGCTCCTGAGAGCGAACCATTCTTTCACAAATGTTTGTAGAAGCAGTCTGCATGACTAGGTGCTTGATTTAAAGTGATTCTAAAGGTTCCTTTTTTTTTTTGTAAAATAACATACCTGTCTATACTTACCTACTGTGTGCAGTGGCCTTGCACAGAGCAGCCTGTCTGCCGGGTGCCCCCACAGCAAGCAGCCTGCTATGGGGCTGCTCTTTGTGTCCATTCACACACGGAGCCGCAACTTAGCCCCACCCCCTCTCTCTCCTCATTGACTTCCACTTGTTGTCTCAGCCAATGAGGAGGGAGACTCGTGGCAGCCGAGGCTGTCATTTAGGTAAGTATTGAGGGGGCTGGGGGAGCTGCTGCACACAGAAGGTTTTTTCCTTCATGCATTGAATACACGAAGCTAAAAAACCTTCAGCCTTTACAACTTTAATACACCTGTGACCATGGAGGTGATTGGAACACCTGAATCCAATGATTTGGAGGGGTTTCCTAATACTTTTGGCAATATAGTGTATAATATATATGTTGTATATATATATATATATGTTGTATATATATATATATATATATATATATATATATACAGTATATATTACACACACAGTATATACACTGCTCAAAGAAATGAAAGAAACACTTTTTAATCAGAGTATAGAGTCAAGTCAATTAAACTCCTGGGATATTGATCTGGTCAGTTAAGTAGCGGAGGGGGTTGTTAATCAGTTTCAGCTGCTTTGGTGTTAATGAAATGCACAACAGGTGCACTAGATGGGCAACAATTAGACGACCCCCAAAACAGGAATGGTGGTACAGGTGCAGGCCACTGACTTTTTTCCCTACTCATCTTTTCTGACTGTTTTTCACTAGTTTTGCATTTGGCAAATGTCAGTGTCACTATTAGTAGCAATACCTGGACCATACAGAGGTTGCACAAGCAGTCCAACTCCTCCAGGATGGCACATCCATACGTGCCATTGCCAGAAGGTTTGCTTTGTCTCCCAGCACAGTCTCAAGAGCATGGAGGAGATTCCAGGAGACACGCAGTTACTCTAGGAGAGCTGGGCAGGGCCATAAAAGGTCCTTAACCCATCAGCAGAACCAGTACCTGCTCCTTTGTGCAAGGAGGAACAGGATGAGCACTGCCAGAGCCCTACAAAATGACCTCCAGCAGACCCCTGGTGTGAATGTCTCTGACCAAACAATTAGAAACATACTTCATGAGGGTGGCCTGAGGGACCGACGTCCTCTAGTGGGTCCTGTGCTCACTGCCCAGCACCATAGAGTTTGATTGGCATTTGAGATAGAACACCAGAATTGGCAGGTCCACCACTGGTGCCCTGTGCTTTTCACAGATGAGAGCAGGTTCACCCTGAGTACATGTGACAGACATGAAAGGGTCTGGAGAAGCTATGGAGAACGTTATGCCGCCTGTAACATCGTTCAGCATGACTGTTTTGATGGTGGGTCATTGATGGTCTGGGGAGGAATATCCATGGAGGGATGCAGACCTCTACAGGCCAGACAATGGCACCCTGACTGCCATTAGGTATCAGGATGAAACCCTTGGACCCATTGTCAGACCCTACACTGGTGCAGTGGGTTCTGGGTTCCTCCTGGTGCACAACAATGCCTGGCCTCATGTGATAAGAGTATGCAGGCAGTTCCTGGAGGATGAAGGAATTGATACCATTGAATGGCCCCCACGCTTGCCTGACCTAAATCCAATAGAACACCTCTGTTTTGGTCCATCTGATGCTGCCAGGATGCACGTCAGACTGTTCAGGAGCTCAGTGATGCTCTGGTTCAGATCTGGGAGGAAATACCCCAGGACACCATCCATTGTCTCATTAGAAGCATGCCCCGACGTTGTCAGGAATGCATACAAGCACGTTGAGGTCATACAATCTTCTGAGTACCATTTTGAGTTGCTGCAATGAAATTTCAGCAAAATAGACGAGCCTGCTGCATCATTTCTTCACTTCAATTTCCAGGGTGTCTTTGAATTCAGTCCTCTGTAGGTTGATGATTTTCATATCCATCAAACGATGAGGCATCCTTATGTTCCTAACACATTACCCAGTCCATATCAGTATAGATATCTAGCATGATATTTTTCCCCATTGAGATCTGATGTGTCTTCAAAGTGTTCCTTTAATTTTTTTGAGCAGTGTGTGTGTATATATATATATATATATATATATATATATATATTTTTTTTTTTTTTTTTTTTTTGATAATTTAGTACATAAGATAAATGTGGCAGCATGGCATTTCAGCTCACATAACAAACAGAACAATGGATTGCTCACACAAAATGTATGAAAAGAATAGATTTTAGTCAAAAAAGCTCTTATTTCTTATCCTCTCTTATCTCTGTCATCCTACCAAACCTGTCAGATTAGTTCCTGACTGTAAATCTGATGGTATCACTGTGCCCTGCAGACCCGTGTTAAAATAAATATGTTAAAATTGGATGTGTAAATCTTCACAAATAAACATAGCAATGACTAGGCTCTTTCCTTCAAAAATTTTAAGGGTCGCAGCAATGTTTTGTGTAAACTAAGAAAATCAAAGTCAGCTTGGCTGTGGAACACTAGAAGGATTGTTTATGATAGAGTAAAAAAGAGCTGGCATTCTTTTCGTTGATTTAAAAATAAAATCTGGAACAGTTGTTCAGCCTGTGAAAGGTAGTGAAAGAGAAAATCGATTTCAATAGTTTTAGGGAGTTCAAAGATCACATTTTGCGGGAATTCTGTAACATAACTAATATTGCAAAGTATTTTATTGTATTTAATTGCAATTTAATTGTATTCTTTCTGTTATTGTTTATTTATTCTGAAGAGCCTTGATGTGACTTTTGATGGTTGTAGAACAGGAAAAAATGTCCTATATGAAATACCTTGAATTGTTATTGAGAAAATATTAACCTCAACTTCAGTGAACCCAAATTAGTATGGATTCACACTATAGTGGTGTGGGAAATTGCATGTGATTTGGACAGAAATTGCACCACATTCCTGTTCAAATCATATGCGATTCTTTCCAGTGCAATCTGAGCCCATTCATTTTGTATGGGCTCAATTCGCACCTCACCTGCATGAAAAAGGTGCATGAACCTTATTTTTTTTTTTTTTTGCTGCACTGGAATCGGATGTGGCAAAAACCCCATGCGATCCAATTCTTGCCATTGCACTGTGTTTTTTTTTTTGGGGGGGGGGGGTCAATAATTTATCTATTAAGATATGCCTGTGCCCAAATCGCAATAGCTTGTACATGCATTTACCTATCAGGTGCTAAAGAGCTGTAATAACATATTAACACTAGAAATTCTAAAAGAACCCTCTGCACACTGGTATATACCCTTTTGATCTTTGCAATAAAATTAGGGATTTTTAGTTCACACATATTGCAATACATGTTTAAGCTGGCCAACTGCATCAAAGTAATCCTTTCTGGACAGTCCTACTCTGCTCTGCCAATGCAAATGCTACTATGGACACAATACCAACATGGGGCAAACAGACACATTAATTTAACATTGACATAGATGGCAGATTGCAATTTCAATGCGATATGGGAAACTCAGGATTTTCTGCGTTTCCTGCACCGCATATATGTGAATCGGATCTTATTGTCCATGCTACCAGTACCTCAATGCAGAGCTATGTGACGTCATCACGCAAGCCCAGAAGTAGACGTATGGTTGTTTTTCTATTAAGGTGATGCCGATGTTTACTCTTAAGTGGCAATGCTGATGTTTTAAAGCAAACCTATCCAAATGCACTGGTTAACAATGTGACTTGTGAGTGATTTTTCATTTGTTTGTAATAAAGGAAGTTGTTTAAATACAGCGTATGATGATGGCTTTTTATGGTTTTCAGCAATAAATGTAAACTGGAGAAGCTTCATCCTGCATCTGAGATCTGACGATTGGTGAGAGAGGAGGTGTGCTGTTGGTACATTTGGTGAAGCCCAAAGGAGATGGTGAACCCCTAATTAAAGGGCAAGGCTTATGGTTACCCATTTATATTATAGGTCAATTTCTACAGGTGAGCAGTTGATGTAGCCGGTGATGGAGCCCTATTGGTGAAAACTGGATAAAGTTACACATAGCACAAGGTGTTGGATTTGCAAACTGTATATGGACTTGATGTAAATTGAGTACATTTCATTTGCATTGAGTAACATTTGTAGGTGTATAGAGCATTATATTGCACTTGCAGGATTTGTATTAAGTTGTTTTTTAAAAGTATTTTTTAAAATTTGTAGCAGGTTTAATAAGTCACTAAATGATGATCACAATGGGCAACATACAATATTTTGTGTGTGTATATGGTGATGATAGTGCTGCACTTTTTTTATATATTAACAGCAACTTATTTGTAAATTTATACAACCTCTTGCCTTTCCAAAATTAACAAATGTTTATAGATTGTTTCACTGCTTGCCGACCGCCCTATAGCAGAACTACTGCTACAGGGCGGCAGGGCTGTACAAAATGATGTAAATATACATGATTTTGTATCTCCAGGTAGGGGACGCGCACACCCTACCCGTGCTGCTATTGGCAGCTACAGCTGTCTATCACTGGGTCCCGGCTGGAGATTCCCCACCGGCACCCGGCGATCGCCGAGGAACACTGATGGGGAGAGGTCTGTATGTAAACAACACAGATTTCTCCCCTGTCAGCTCCAGCATGCTGCTTTGTATTGCTCTGCATAGCAGAGAAACACAAAACAGCATGCCTCCCTAGTAAAATAGAGCACACAGCACACAGTAAAAGCACACACAGCACGCAGTTAACCCTTTGATCACCCCAGATGTTAACCCCTTCCTGCCCAGTATCATTAATACAGTGTTGGTGCTTTTTATTAGCACTGATCACTGTATTAGTGTCACTGGGGATGTCAGTGACATTTAGTCAGTTTCCCCCCAGTGTCAGAATGCCCGCTGTAGTCCCGCAATCCCGCTATAGTTACATAGTTACATAGTTAGTCTCGCTGAAAAAAGAGAGTCCATCCAGTTCAACTATTAAAAAAAAAGTGATAATCCTATACCCACAGTTGATCCAGAAAAAAGCAAAAAAAAAAGCAAATCATGATCCAGTTTACTCCTGCAGGGGAAAAAATCCTTCCTGATCCCCCGAGAGGCAATTGGATATTCCCTGGATCAACTTTACCTATAAATGTTAGTATCCAGTTATATTCTGTGTATCTAGGAAATAATCCAGGCCTTTTTTAAAGCAATCCACTGAGCTGGCCAGAACCAACTCTTGAGGGAGTCTTTTCCACATTTTCACAGCTCTCGCTGTGAAGAAACCTTTCCATGTTTGGAGATTAAATTTATTTTCCTCCAGACATAAAGGGGTTTATTTACTAAAGCTGGAGAGTCCAAAATCAGACTCCCTTCTGCATAGAAACCAATCAGCTTCCAGGTTTCATTGCCAAAGCTTCATTGAACAAGCTGAGGTTAGAAGCTGATTGGTTTCTATGCAGAAGGGAGTCTGATTTTGGACTCTCCAGCTTTAGTAAATAAACCCCAAAGTGTCAGATTGCCCGCCACTCTATTAGAGTCCCACTAAAAGTCGATGATCACCGCCATTACTAGTATTAAAAAAATAAATAAAATGTATATATATACATATATATATATATATATATATATATACTGTATATACATCATCATTTGTAGACACTATAACTTTCATGCAAATAAATAAAATCAATGAATATACACTTTTCAGGATTTTTCTTTACCAAGACCTCCTCTCCCTAGGGAATCCTGTTCCCTGACTAGCAGGCTGTAGCTCCAGGCTCCGTGTAAACTAAAAAGCAGGAGGAGTCAGCAGCTGTGGAAAGGAGAAGAGGCAAGGCTCAGTGCTGGTTATAACCCCCCCCCCTTTAATTTCTATTCTAAGCCTGCATATGTCCAAAAACATTTTTTTGCTGCTGTTAGCCACCCTGCAACAGGAAGTCAGATATGTTCGTTCTCTATGGTCCTACTGTATGTAGGGATATAGCAACTTTCACTTGCTTGCTCAGAAGATGGACTATTGGTTATGGACTATGGTATGTGTAGTGTTCATAGAGCAGTGCATGTGACTGCAACTAGTGGGCACTGCTCATTCTGAACAAGTGAAAGGAAAACAAATGTTTGGGAGCTCATGGATGAAATTACTAGGAGGCAGAAAAAACACAGTAAGAAACTATTCCAGAATATTGATACATGTAAGAATATGCATGCATCATACATACTAGGGGGAGTACAACTGGGGGAATCAATGGTGGAGAAGGATCTGGGGGTTCTGGTAGATCACAAGCTTAATAATGGCATGCAATGCCAAGCTGCAGTTTCTAAAGCGCGCAAAATCCTCTCTTGCATTAAAAGAGGTATAGACCTCATCTGAAATATGCAGTTCAGTTTTGGGCACCAATTCACAAAAAAAAAATTGGGGATTTTGAGAAAGTACAGAGAAGGGCAACCAAACTGATAAGAGGCATGGAGGAGCTCAGCTATGAGGAAAGATTAGAGGAACTGAATTTATTCTCTCTTGAGAAGAGGAGATTAAGGGGGGATATGATCAACATGTATAAATACATCAGTGGTTCATATAGTGAACTCAGTGTAGAGCTATTCACCCTGAGGTCATCACAGAGGACAAGGGGGCACTCATTATGTCTGGAGGAAAATAAATTTTGTCTTCAAACACGGAAAGGTTTCTTCACAATGAGAGCTGTGAAAATGTGGAATAGACTCCCTCAAGAGTTGGTTCTGGCCAGCTCAGTGGATTACTTCAAAAATGGCCTGGATTCTTTCTTGGATACACAGAATATAACTAGATACTAACATTTACAGGTAAAGTTGATCCAGGGAATATCCGATTGCCTCTCGGGGATCAGGAAGGAATTTTTTCCCCAGCAGGAGCAAATTGGAACGTGCTTTGATGGTTTTTTTTGCCTTCCTCTGGATCAGGTGTGGGTATAGGATTATAACTTTTTTTTTTCTATAGTTGAAATGGATAGACTTTTGACTTTTTTCAGCCAGCATAACTATGTAACTATGTAAGACATGTTACAAAATACATTTTGGCCTAAATTCATGAAGAAATTTGATTTTTGATGTTTTTATTAGATATGTTTTAGAAAACAAAAAGTAAAAAATATTGTTTTCTTTTAAAAGATTTTGCTTGTTTTTCATGAAAAAAAAACCAGTGGTGATCAAATACCTCCAAGAGAAAGCTATTTGTGTGAAAAAAAATGGTATAAATTTCATTTGGGTACAGCGTTGCATGACCAAGCAATTACCGGTTGAAGTATTGCAGTGCTAAATAGCAACAAATGACCTGGCCATGAAGGGGGGGGGGGGGGGGGGGGGGAAATCTTCAGTAGCTTAAAGTGTTTTTAAAAGCAGATTTAAAAAAAAAATTAAAATAACACGTTATGATAACCTGCTCTGTTTAGTGGTATTGCATAGAGCGCCCTGATCCTCCTCTTATCGTGTCCCCTGCCAGCAATCCTGGCTCCTCCTCCTTCTTTGTGTGTCCCCATAGCAAGCTGTTTGCTATGGGGATACACATTGTGTGCTTGCTCCTGACTTGTGTGTCTGTGGAGCCCCACCCCCACTTCCTCTTCATCACATTTGATTGACAACAGCAAGAGCCAATGGCTCCTGCTTCTGTTTGAGTTCCTGTGTGAAGAGGAAGTGAGGGGAAGGGAGAAGAAATGCAGCCATGCACTTCACTGATCTCTCTTCTCCCCTCTCTTCAGGGAAACTAAAAATGCATTAAGGTAAAAAACATTTTTAGGTGTATTATCATTTTAAGTGGATATAATATGCAGAGTACCACAATCTGGTTCCTTTTCTTGGTGACAGACTATGCAGAGTACTTCCTAGACCTCAGAACAGTGACCTCAGAACAGATGCCCAAACCTCTAACCTCCCACTAGAGAGATATCTAGCATGCTAGCCTCTTTTATTCTGCATCAAACACAAATAAAATACAAACCATTCCTAAAACATTTAATCCATAGAAGAAGTCTAATACATACTGGAGTTTGATGGCATACCTCTCAAACTTTCTAATTGTACCCTTAGACTAGAGTTGGATTTACCATTAGGCAGAATCAGAGAGTGCCTACAGGTGGCAGAAGCAAAGTAGAGGCTTTACCGAGGATAGTTATTGGCCATACATTTTCTTCCATCATCAGGAGAAATATTTTATGAGCTTATTTACATTGTCACAATGTTCTAAGCCAGGTTAGATCAAATAAAACAAAGAATGAAGTGATCCTATCAGAGGAATGATGCCCTTGGCACCATAGGTTGTGTGCCTACATGCTGCAGTGATGGAAATTTCATAAACAATAATCCAATTGCCATATAACAGCTCATTTTGACAGTGGGATCCTGTGTTGAACAGAAGGGCACATGTGTGTGACACCTCCTTAATAGGGGAAAATAGTTGCAAATTGGCAAGGTTTTTTAACAAATTTTTCTGATTGTCACTACCTCAGTAGAAGTTGTTCGTGGGTACATCAAGGATTTGATTTGGACATCCAGTTAGCTATCATGTCATGTTCATCTTTTACTCTCAAAAGTTTGTTTTATTAAAAACATTAGAACATTATGGAAAAAACTAAAAGTTATGTTCATTTTAGACATTAGCTTCCTTTTGACGGATTGAATTAAGCATATGTTTTTACAGGGTGCTTCCATGCTTTAGTCTGCAATATGCATAGTGTCTAGAAAATGACCAAACACTAGTACTTGTTGACTGCATGTAGGAGGGTTCCTACTAAAGTTGCTACCTCACTGTATCTTGGTCTCTACGTTTTGCTCTTAAAATATGTTGTGTACTGTATTTATCGGTCAGGGCTGCTGAACTCCAGTTGGGAGGGAGTTAATTGTGTGAGCATGCTCTTTCAGTGATGTTCATGACTCTGACCCCTGATGGAGGCCATAAATATCGGGGGAAATGTGTCTCCAGAGGGAGATTGGGCTGTTTGTGTGAAGTGTAAAGAGGACCTCTGCCAGAATCATGTGAAAGGACTTTTTCTGGAGTGTCCCGTGGCAGGAACATAGCCAGGATTCCGAGACATGGACATTTGCTTTTATGTTGGACTTAATAACCAAGGTGAGGTCTGAATAATGGGGCAGAGTACCAGGGCACCAGGAGTAGCACCAGCTTGTGATATTGGAGAAGATGCATTATGCTGTATGTTGAAAGTCCTGAATAAAGAATTCCCTTGGTGAAGAATCTTTGCCTGACCTGACCTTATTTAAAGTCACATAAGTGTATGCAAGGTGTGCTACAACAACTATCAAGGAAAATATCACATTAACTCTTTGGGTTAGGATAAGAGAACTTTGTACATAAAGGTGCAGCTAAAGTAACCGTTGTGGTGGTGTTGTGGCTGAAGATGTCCGAGCATAACAATACAGAAAAGACAGCTGCAGGGGAAAGTGGGTGACTTGGCAGGGGTGATGAAGGAAGAACCAGCTGCAGCATGGGATCTTCTCAGGCACCTGGTCTGGGAGTTACAGGTGTGAGGCCTTGAGGAGAAGCATGGTAACAGCTTTCTGGGATGCCTATTCACAGAGAACAACTGGGGAAGGTGATAGATCTGAAGCTGGTGGAGTCTCTGCATTGTACTGCATCAGGAATGCTACTTAATATAGAGATAAGTGGAGAGGAAGGAGTTTGCCTGGAGAGCTATATGTAACTAACCAGTGAGAAGTGAATGAAGAGTGCTGCCTTTGCCAACTCATGCATTTCCAGGCAATGTCTCTGTCAGCTTCTAAGGTGCAGAAGTACAAATCACTGCCTCCACTATGCAAAATGCCCACATGCAGAATTAAAATTTTTTAGACAGCATAGTACTTTGAAAATGAGGTGAGGGTGTGGTACCTCTTTGAGTCTTTCAGCTGAATGAATACTGCTATTAAGTTTTGTATTCTTGACACAG